AGCTAACTTTACTTTAATTTACTTATAATAAAAAATTTTGTAAATAAATATTTACTCGTTATACAAACCACTATTACAAAGTTGTCTTGATATCCTGAAAAATGAGACTCAAAAACTTACCATGGCAACTATTGATGATCATCACGGATGATCTATGGTGGCAGCCTACTATGTATTTTTGAGAAATATTTGCTTTGGTCACATTAGTCGTATTAAGAGATTCGTTGACGTGTTTTTGGGAGCTTTAACAAAAAAATGTTGCTTGTAACACGTACGTAAAACGTTTTTGGGACTCATTTGCTATGTAAAATTAAAAACAGCAAAATTCGTCCCAAAAAACTATGCTTTAGGTACTTGTAACAAAAATAACTATTTGTGTAAGTACTTAGTTTACGCATCATAAAATGCGTACATATCTTTTTTATATATACGTAGTATAATATAATATAAAGTTTAATCGATTGATATTGAAATAATGAGCATAAAACCTCAATATTGGTTATTGTTTTTTAATTTGTTGCAAAATTCATATCGTTAATTATTATAAGTGTCATGGACACAAATTTAATCTTCATATTAAGCAATATTTTTAAAATAAATTGAATATATATATATTTATAAACAAGAGGTTATCTTATCGAGTACTAGTCCTTCAAATAATATATGTCGACAAAATTGTTTACAAATTAAATATTTTTGCTGCATTTATTTATTTTAATGAAACATTTGCTCTTAGTTTTAGTTTTTTTTAAATTAACAAATTTGATAAAAGTTACATTTAAATTTCTTTTATTCTTGGACGGAAATATGCATATGTAGTGTAGAAGTTCATGATTTTAATCTTTTTCCCCAATATCTTACTTATGTTATATTCTTTTAGTAAAAAACAAATTTTGTTCTCAATAGACGTGATACATAATACAGGGTGCCGCATCCAAGTCTGGATATAGGGAATTAACATGCGAATTGGTTTTTATTTTATAATATCTCCCCAGATCACTTTAAAGCTATTATTGAGTGATGGCTTTGTGGAGGTCGAAGAGGGCTATCGGCCAGTATTTTTTTCAAATCGTTGCATCGCGCTCATTCACTGTAAAAAGGTTTTAAAAATCGTATTTTGAAATTCGCGCCCGATCCGAATTGTCGCGAAGTGTTCCGTCGTACTGTCGAAGTTCGGCGATCGCGTATTTTCATTACCCATGCAAAATTCAAATGTCAAAGTGAAATTAGAAATTATTCTCATCAGAAATCAACGAACAAGTCAAACTGAATTATTTTATCCAGTGTGATGATTATTGTAGGACAAATTAAACGGAATAAATGCACAAATTGATCCATTCATTCGTCATAGTGCGCGACCCCGTCAAACGAGCCATCTCGAACTACAATCAGACCGTATCCAAAAAGCCCAAGATGAAGACTTCAAGACTTCGAGCAGCTGGTCTTCCTCAAAACCCCATCAAAGCCCATCGGCAGCATTGCGACATTTTCTGGGAGCCCTCAAGCTAGGAATGTACTCGGGCTGCTTCACTCAGTAATCACTGAACGACTCAAATTGAATTATTTTATCCAATATGACGATTATTGTAGGTCAATTTAAACGGAATAAATGCACAAACTGCACAAAATATTTTATTAGGTTATGCTATGTTCTACTGCGATTAGATGAAAAAGCGGGGGCCTGCATGTTCTTCAACAGTTAATTTAATTAGTAGGTAATTTGGATAAATTTCACCCTTTTTTTTGGAATCACTAAAGATTGGAAGTCAATTGATTTTACATTCGTTAAGCAGGGATGGATTTTTTGCCTCCAGGAAGCATCTTCATTCCAGGAAATTTTTGAGAGAGAAATGTAGAACATTGACTCATCAACATTTTAAAGTATTTTTCTCTATTACGAATGTGTTTTGGGATTCAGAAACTTTTGTATTACTGTTTTATTTGTTTATTGTGTTAACAACAACAAAAATAAAAATAATATTTCGGAAAATAAAGTTACATTTATTTTCAAAGGTGATAAAAATTACATAAAATCAGGTGGGCACGACGTTTTCTAGGGGTCTTAAACAGATGAGATAGAAGAATTTCAAAAAGCATCATGACAAAAAATTGAAGCCTGGGGACTACTTCTCACATATAGAGTTTTACGAAGGAACGCTTGAGAGAATCTAGGCTGATGGAGAGTTTTTGAGGAAAATTTGTTTTACTGACGTTCATTTGGTCTTAAGGGAAGTTATAATCGTCAGAACGATCAAATTTGAGCATTACACAACCCTCACGTGGTCCATGACTTTCGTTATCAATGGCGTGCAATTGTCAGTGTATGACTGGGGCTTCTAGGACATCATGTCATTGCACCTTTTTTCATCGAATCCGGATTGAATGCTCAGAAGTAGGATAATATGCTAGCTCAGCAAATACTTCCTGGGACTTGAAGGGTGCGGCATCTGCAGCAGGTCTTTTACATCCAGGACCAAATCTCCAGCCATACAGTTCGCATAAATGTTGTTTATTTGAACCAGTATTTTTCCGCAATGTTGGAATGGAAAGTTTGCACCGCCCCATTGGCCTGTGCAATCGCCGGATATAAACCCCTGAGAATTTTTTCTTTGGAGATTTCTTCACGACCATCTGCATTCAGACAAGCTATACAAACAGAGAAGCGCTGAAACAAGCAATCCAGCAATATTGTCTTCAGATTTCAACTAAAATGCTGATCAACACGCGTAGGAGTTTTGAAGATTGGCTTACTTACTGTACAGCTGCTGAGAGCCGTCTTTTTGAGCAATTCTTGAAAATAGTGCAATACTTCTCCAGATTCGTACAATATTTCATTACTTCATTCATCAACAATTGTTAAGTTTTGTTATTTGTAGTTATCTAAATGGTTCATTAAAAGGTCCTCTTCAAAAGCGCCAGCTATTTTGATGGTAAATCTTATCATCACACAATAAGAAAAGCGGGCCCTCGCTTTTTCATCTAATCGCAGTAGAACATGGCATTTTAATGAGATTTTAGTAATAAAGACTCGATCAGTACCAGCAACATAACCTAATAAAATATTTTGTGCAGTTTGTGCATTTATTTCGTTTAAATTGACCTACAATAATCGTCATATTGGATAAAATAATTCAATTTGAGTCGTTCAGTAATTACTGAGTGAGGCAGCCCGAGTACATTCCTAGCTTGAGGGCTCCCAGAAAATGTCGCAATGCTGCCGATGGGCTTTGATGGGGTTTTGAGGAAGACCAGCTGCTCGAAGTCTTCATCTGGGCTTTTTGGATACGGTCTGATTGTAGTTCGAGATGGCTCGTTTGACGGGGTCGCGCACTATGACGAATGAATGGATCAATTTGTGCATTTATTCCGTTTAATTTGTCCTACAATAATCATCACACTGGATAAAATAATTCAGTTTGACTTGTTCGTTGATTTCTGATGAGAATAATTTCTAATTTCACTTTGACATTTGAATTTTGCATGGGTAATGAAAATACGCGATTGCCGAACTTCGACAGTACGACGGAACACTTCGCGACAATTCGGATCGGGCGCGAATTTCAAAATACGATTTTTAAAACCTTTTTACAGTGAATGAGCGCGATGCAACGATTTGAAAAAAATACTGGCAGATAGCCCTCTTCGACCTCCACAAAGCCATCACTCAATAATAGCTTTAAAGTGATCTGGGGAGATATTATAAAATAAAAACCAATTCGCATGTTAATTCCCTATATCCAGACTTGGATGCGGCACCCTGTATAAGGTAATTTAACAAATTTTTGGACGTATAGGTTTTCAAAGTTAATTTTAATAATAATTAGGTGGGGTCGAAATTATATTGATATGTGGTGTGATTAACAGAAATGTCCTGACGCTGATAAAGCTAAAAATTTAGGATATTTCTTTATAAAAGTTCCCTTCCTACTTATAAATATGACACAAAATAAAATAATTTTGTTACAAAAAATTATGATCCCCACCAATTTCTATATTTATTCTCAACACATTAGTGATATTAACTTCAAAGCTGTCAGTGTCCCAGATGTGAAACAAGTTTTACCATTATTAATTTGTTTTGAATGTTTTAGAATTACAAAATGCGTAAACAAATATGTTGTTCACATTTTCAGAACAGTTTTCGTATTCCTACAATTCGTTTGACATATATCGCACCCATGAGTTTCTCAAATATGACTCAAATTGGAATTAAATTTGATGCATGACCAATTCTTTTTACGATCTCTCAATTCTGGGTCTCGTACTTTTATCGACCGTTCTTTTTTGTTTCCTTGTGTTTATTTTTTCCCTTCTGCGTGATGTTTATATGGATATATAGTTTTTTCTTCTATGTAATTCTGCTTTCTTTAAATTTTTAATGGAATCGGTTACAAGTCATAAGATTCAAGAGTGTTTTAACTTATATATTATGTAGAGTGATTAAATTTGCAAATTCGCATGTATTTTAAATAGGACACCTGTATTGTGTAACATTTTCAGGCGTCTAAGTGTTGTACCTATATCGTTGCAGTACAGTTGGATGGTCTATCAAAATGTGTTACAGAATATGTACGTTGCACTTTTTTTTTCCTTCAAACAAAAACAGTGGCGTTTACAGAATTTTAATATCTCTATCCACTCTCAAAATATACGGCCGCGGAATCTTAACTGGAACACTGTGTATATATTAACCTGCTTCTTCTCGTAGACCTATAAAATCCTAAAAACAAAGATACTCTTCAAATGATTACAGAGTTACGTCTTTCACTTTCGTTTTAAGCTGAAACTGAATGAGACAGACATAATAAAAAACGCAAACTAGAGTACAAAGTAAAAGATAGTGAAAGTTTAAACAAACAATAAACTGTACCACACCATGACCCTCACATTCTTTCTTAAGTAAGATTAATAATTCAGTACATAATTAATAATTATTCAAACAGTTGAAAGCAGTTCCACTTTTTTCCACACTAACAGAGTAGAAAGAAACATATCACAACTCAGACCGGCAAACACTTTATTTTAATTATAACATGTTATAATACTTTTTTAAGTATAATTAAAAACAGTGATTTAGTTGTAATGAACCTTGTAAAGGGGTGCGAATTTGCAGGTAAAATTCGTCATTCCACAGGATGAAGTATATCCATCGGTATTACAAAAGCACGTGTTGCATCCTACAGCCCATGTCTTATTTTTTCTGCATCCTGAAAAGTAGTAGATGTTACAATACCTACATAATTAAACTATGTTCTCGTTTAATCATAAGAAATACAAAATTAGTTTCACAAAAATAATTACTTTTTCTTATATTTGAAGCGGAATTTGTCAGGCTTTTTGTTAATAACGAATAAAGCGAACGTCTAAAAACTGCAGTTTAGATAAAAACTTGCCATAACGATAACGGAAAACGACCTCGTGTCAGTGATAATAATTACGTAGATTAAAATATTTACAGTAAACTATAAATTTACTAGTTAATGAGTCATTATTTGAAACTAACCTGGGCACTCAAAATGACATTTCAGCTACGACTAGTCATTTTCAAATTTATTTTCAAACTTCACAGATTTATGACTAAGAAATATGCTATACTGGAGGATTTTAAAACTAAACTTTCAAATGGCTGTGGCCGCAGCGGCTAAGTTGTTCTGAATGTGCAAATTAAGAAAATTATTATTCATTTGAAAATCGTTTCGTCTTGTATTAAAATAAACTTATTAAACGTTTAGTTTTTGTAAATAATGGCACATATTTGTATCTACTTTTTTCGTAAATTGATACTCTGCACTCGTTATTTATCAGTAACACACAATAAAAACAAACCAGGCGATTGGCTATAGAATGACTATGTTAAAAGTTGAACGACTACACATAACAAAAAATGTTTTATCATAAAGGAAAAGTTATATTTTGATTTTGATTGCTGTGAAATTTTAGGTATACTTTAAAAATATCAGATAGATTGTGAAACACTAACCAGAATTCTCTATTCATCCATAACAAAAATTGATGACGTTATCTCAAAATTTTACTTAAACTTTATAGTTTATTTGTAAAAATTGCTTCATATATTCAAATTATTTAACACTTTAATGTTCGTATAAGTACCCATCACTAAGATAAATTGCCTTTTAAAAGCTTTGCCCCATTTTAGGAAATTTGCATTTTAATTTACCCAGATTAAGCTAACTTTGTAACACTGTATTTTATTTTTTAATTTTAAATCAAAAAAATCAATACTAGAATCGCCTGAAGTAACATTTTTTTCTATTATTTAATAAAAAATTGTTGCAAAATAATATCTTTTTGGTTTTATTTTGGTAGAAATACAAACAGTTTCATTTCACGGTTGACAGACTCCTTAATGAACTTATAGATGTTCAACTTACATACAATCCAATGTACATAATATAGTCGTTAGACTGTAATGTATCTAACGTAATCCTTAACTTCTACTTGGGTGTAACTTAACACTTAAACAAAAAACTTACTGTTTGAGAATCATTTTTGAAATATTTTATATAAGTTTACTTTTTTCTCGGATTATTTAAATGATCTGTTTATGGCCCTAAAAACATTATTAGAAACTGAATGTGTAGAGTATTGTCGAATATGTGAATGACATACTCGATCAAAACTTCATTTCTGAATAACCATCATATAACTCTTATTAGAGCGACAAGTAGTTTTAATTTTGGCACAGTTACTAATAGAAATGATTATAGGTTAATACATGACAAAAACATATTTTGTTTGGTTAAAAGTGTAATTTGTTGGATATCACTAGAAAGAATAATAATTCTCATGATTTTTAGAGAAACTATTCATCTCATGGAAGCTTCCTTTAACTCGAGCTATAATAGAAAAAAAATTGTAGAATATTACTATGGCAATTTTTCTTGTCAAATCCATACTTAAAATATGAAATAAAGCATTAAAAAACCGCGCAGATCATTTTATATATCTAGGTATGATGTACCTATTCAAATATTTGAAACATCTAAAATAAATTTACACTACTATCAAAGATAATTAATATTATACATTAAAATAATTACTTTTTGAGCTTTTTTCTTGTTATACAGAGTGATACAAAAATGACGGATAAGCTCGATGGTATGTTGTTAAGAAGGTCCTGAAAAACTTGAAAAAAAAGCTACAAAAAATCGTCGCATCAAACTTTTGAGAATATTAAACTTCAAAATGAAGAATTAACTTCTTAAGGTTGAATAGACAGTTAAATAATTAGTGTTATTAATAATTTAATAATAATTTGCTAGAATACGACCCTTAAGGTAATTTTTTATTGTCAACAGATGTAGTTTTTACAATTTTTATCCGAATTTTAGACTATCAATTAAGTTGGCGTTAAAACATATCGAAGATAATTCTACAATTTTGAAGTTTAATATTTTAAAAAATTGCCTTTTGCCAACCATTTTTTTCCAGTTCTTCAGAGCCTTCTTAACAACGGACCATCGAGCTTAACCGTCATTTTTTGATCACTCTGTATTATATACACACATAATTTTAAATAAATAAATGTTTTTACTCTTTATGCACAGCAAAGCGATAATCATGATTCTCCTAATTTTAATTTTAAATTTTAAATTTTAAATTTTAATTGTGTATGTGACTGTTTTACTTATCAGTTAATTAAGGAAAATTACCTTCTTCTTCGAAACCCAGGCCACTTATTACTAAACACAAAGCAACAAGAATTTTTATCACAGAGAAACTACAATACATTTTTAATTTAATACTTTGTGCAAATAAGAACGTTACAACGACACATACTAAACTAAAACTTTTGCAGTAATTGCGAACAATTTGAATTTCTAATGAAGGCGTGGTTTAAAGTAAAACATGACGGTTTTTAAACGATAATACATACATACATACATTTCCATAGTTTATGTCTAAGTATCTAAGATATACGAATAGTTCACAAAATCTAAAATCGACGTATAAAAGTGCTTAATTTAAATTTTATTAAGTAAGTTGAATCTCACAAAGTTTTTTATTTATTTCAATTTATTAAGCAACGAATATGTAACATTGAACGTTGAACCAAATTTGACAAGACGATAATGATGCATTATTAATATTAACCGCATGTGATTGATTTATACAGATTTTTGTAGGGATACTGTGTCATTGTCTTATTAATCTTCACCAAATTTTTTTGTGTTTTGAACTAAGTGCATGAAAAAATATGGCAGTTTTGTATAAGAAAAATACCGGCTTAATGATAGGTACTACTGAAATTTAACAGAGGTCACATTATAATAGGTATGCAATAATATATTTACTTGCATAGTACTTATATGTATGTACGTGTTTACACTGTGTGAATGGTGACATGATTTAATTCGATTTAAAGTAATGAAGTGTAATAGTATGTTCTACTTAATTACACAATTCATTATTATGTGGAATTAACCATTTATATAATCTATAAAAAACTTATATGTTTGCTTCATAACCTTTTTGCACGTTGTTAATAGAGCGTTAACAAAGAATAGTATTGCAAACAATACAATATTAATGGGAGATCACTCATTTATGAAAATGGGAATTATTTATAAATATTGTATCTAATTTGTGACAGGGATGTTACGTGTGTGTTAGTATTTGATTTCGTAACAATAATAACAATTATTATTATTATTCGAGGCGAAAGTAAGTACGTAATATTATGCATTTTGTTAAATCCGTTCTTCTTAAACATTTTTTCTTATTTTACTTACTTTTTCGTTTGACTTATTTCCACTCTGGCAGAAAACGTTATTGTTGCTTGATTTTTTGTTGTCTTTTTGAAGTTTGACGAATTGTTATCATCATCCATTTGTCTATTGTATGTCCTTGTCATGTCAACATAAAATAGGGTAATTACGGTTAAAAGGCCGTGTTTGAAACGTGATAGCGAATATTTTATTATTAAATATTTATTGATATTTGTGGAAAAATAACTATAATAATAATAAGGTGGTCCTTTTGATTTATTCGAAGACCTCAAAAATAATGAAATCTGTCCACAGCGATTTTCCTTTTTTGACCACAACAAAAAATATACTTATTTATAATACATAGTTTTGGAAGGTTGTGTTAAAATATGATAGGAAAAAATACATCATTTTTGAAATTTATTATTGTTAAAGTCGACTTTAAAAAATAGCTTATATAATTCTTCCCTTAATTTTGCGAATTGTATTTTAATCATGTATCTTAGAACAGCGATTAGAAGTTTCATTAATTTCAAATATATTAATGTATATAATATTAATTTTGCGATAGTAACAACTTTCCTTCAGTTAATTGTATTCCATTAACCCAGTTTTTTAACAAACTTTTAGAAAAAAGTGTTTTCCCGGGGGTTCTAAAAGTTTTTGTTTTTTTGAAAATAATAAAGGCGACCCCTTTTAATTATTCTAATTTTTGAGGAAGTATTCGAAAAATTATTAAAGAAATAAATGTATCATTTCTATGTTCTATGGTTTTCTCTAATCAACAGTATGGGGTTGGTAATACCTAACTGTGGATTTTATTGTGAAATAAATGCAAAATATTAGTACTTAATCCGACAACAGAACTACGTAATGAAATTGACAGTCTGCAACAAAATTTTAACATCTTTTCTAAAAAAACTTCAGATATTAACTACTTCTTACGATTTATCAAAAGAATTTGACCCTTACATTATAATCTCTCATACTATGGTTTCGATAAGAACAGTATTCGGTTTCTGAACTTTTGTGTACTTATTGCCTTATAGAATTTACATTTTACTTAAAGGACAATTTTACATGATTTGTACAACAGCAGAATTAATATGTTTAAAAAATGTATAAAAATTACAAATTCAACCTGCATTTTGATTATCACAACAGAGGCATCAATTATTAATTTTGTCTTATTTAGAATAAACCAAAGGTCAAATGTGAACCATGACAGATAAAATTATTATTATTACACATTACATATTTTATTTCTTAATTTTCTTATTTCTATTTTGCAACGGAAACATTTTTCTAAACAATCATGCCATTTATAACTTTTTAATTTAAATTCGCAGTCAACCATTGTTTTAACAACATTGATCTTAAATGGCCGGTGTCTCTTTTATGTTCCGGAAGTCCCAAAAACGTTGCAATTAATTTGAGAACCCAAGAAATCTTATGTACGCCCACACTCTGAATACCTGCTACTTTTTCTTCGATTGCAGAAAACAAAAAAGTTATCATATTGAGTATGATTAGGTCCAAAATTTTTATATTTCATCACAATATCGACATAATAAACTGAACCCTTAGGGACAACAGTAAAAAATTGGGGTTTATAGGTTTTTTTTTTGATTAATTGTCACTATTTCCCTCTTTTTTACTACAGTTTGTAGATAAATTGTAAATTTCATGCCATCTGGTGGCCCCAAATAAACCGAAAATTAGCACTACCGAAAAACAACAGTAAACGTCAGGCATGTACAGTCTTGACATGGACTTTTTGTACCTTGCACATTAAAAAAAAATCAATTCTACCCCTAGTTATCTCTAATGTAGGTGTAGTTCCAAATGGCTTAGTTGAGAATTTAAAGTCTTTGCATTTGAATGATTCAATAATTATCAAAATTCAAAAAGCTGTTTTGTTAGGAACATGTCATATTGTTCGTAAGTTTCTTGAACAGTCTGATCATGTCAGTCAGATTAGGTTAGCACCAGTAGGTCAGAGTAGTGTAGGTCACTTTCCAAGTGATGCGCGAATAAATGGTCGGTAGTTACGCTAGACTTTTGGGGATGGGGTGAGATTAGAGAATAATAGCAGACTAATTTGTATGCTGTAATTCTAGAATCTCGAAAGTTGTTCTGTTAATTTAATCAATGCATATCATTACTTGGTCTTAGTACCCGTAATGTCTGAATGCCGGTCATTTCCGGGTCAGTGGTGGGTCTTAATTTACAAGTTGTTGAAAATAGGCCAGAAGAACATTTGCATTAACTGTTTCTGCACAATTATTAATTTGCTGTGAGTGCTGGAAGTCGGTAAAACATTTTTCGTATCTTACTTTCGACTTACTTGTCTTAAAATCTTCGTCCTACGAGCTCGGATTTCAACTTGACAACTGCGGCTACAATAAAAGCCATAATATATATTCCTAGCTATGTTTATAGCTATAACAGCATTTTCAGTACTATGTTTAAACTTCTCACACAAAACAGTGGTGACCTTTTATCTCACATATTTGAAAGCATTTTTCTGTAAAACTGTTTAACATGTAGATAGCAAAAAAATTTTGAAAAATGGCTTTACGTTTATAATTAATTTATATCTCAGTCAATGAATTATCTTGAAATGATAATATTTTTCTATATAATAACTAGTTGTCATAATTTTTGGATTTCTTAAGCTGTGTAGAAGCAGTTATTAAAAAATTTCCAGTAGGTTATCTCAAAACTACGATAACTTTTACATGTTTGCTGACCTTTCGTGTTTTTTTTTTTTTATATAGAGAACTCTTTGTGTCAAATGCAATCGTTAATTAAATCTGTTGATTAACACATGTGTATTTAGTTTTATTAAGTCATAATTATTGTAAGTTCATAACGATCAATAGTAATACAATAAGAATATCCAGAAAAACCGGAAATGCAATGATTAGGAAGACGTGTTGCCAAGAAACATCTGGAGACGTCAGTTCTTTTTGGAATTTCTCAGTTAAGTTGATGATTATGCCATCTCTTTGCTTACCTATTTTTGGGCCCCTTTTTCGTTCATTTTTTTGCCTTTTGCGTCCATTTTTTCGTTCATTTCCATGTTTATTACGTCCATTTTTACTCCATTTTCTCCATTCTTCAGCCCTTTTTTTTTCGTTAATGTCCTTGGCTCTTGCGTCCATCTGTGCGAGCATAGCCATCTTCTGCTTTATTTGTTGTTCGCTTGCTACCAAAAGTTTTCAGGAAAAAGCTAGGAAAAGTATGGAATAAAAAAAACATTTTTTTTAGAAAAAATTTAAGTTTACTTTCAAAAGAATGTCTAAAAAATCGGTCGAAGTTTATTTCGACAGAACTTTCCTCGCTCTTGAAGTACAAGTCCAACAAATCCCACTTCATTGAAAAATTATACAATTAGATTTTGGGGTGTTTGTTTTGTGATAACCTCTATAAAGTGGGGACGCAAATTGCAAGGGAGTGCGCAAATTGCACGAGTACGGACAATGTAAAATATATTTAAAAAGAGATAACCAACGGGAAAAAATTGTCTCTCAGTAATAATAACAAGCTTCAACTTGAAGTGTTTGTTATATATCGGAAGAATGTCACGTAGAAATTTGTTTGATTTGAATGAATTTGTCGCCTCAAAACAAAGGACTAAAATTATTTATTATTAATTAAGCCACAATCGAACAGGATGTTATTGTTACAATTTTTATTAAACAAAGATGTGCGTATTCTCACCTTTTCGAGAAAATGGGGTGACTCGTTCTTAATTTGATTAATAAAAAAATTGTTATGACGTGGCCACGGACAGTTATATCCTGAGTTAGTGGTAAAATTTACATTACACTGTGTTAATTTTTTTGTGAACATTTGACCGTTCAGAGAAAAAACTCAAAGCGGAAGTATAGGAGTATATTATTGTATAACATTTAAATCAATGATCAACCAAATTTTGGTTAGCGTTTTACAGACAGACAGACATACAGACAAACAGGGAGGTGGAAACGGGAGACAACTTTTTTCGTACTCTAGGGATCATGAAACGTCGAGAAAATATTAAAATTGTCATTTATCCGATGGACTCGCCAACTGTACTTCCGTAGTTTTAGCTCAGGAAGTAAAAACGTAATCAGTTTATGCAGGGCCGGCTCAACACGGTAAGCGAAAGATGCACCGCATCGGGGCGCCCGTGACAAGGGACGCCGCCCATGCTATTATATTAACTCTATAAAAATAAATTAATATTAGATTTGCATTGAATCACTACCAACAAAATATTATAGCAGTCACAGACCAAGGCGCCCATCGAAAACTTTTCAGAAAAAGCTACATTTTAACATTCCACTATGACCACCAAAGCAGATCCTAAGTCAATTCCTGGCACTTTCAAACTGTAATAATTGAAAAAGAGTGCGCCTTTGGGTTGGATGATGAGACCTTTAGATCAATACCGACAAAAAATAACCAGATTTATGATGCATTATCTGGGTAACAATTTGACGAGACAGCGGTATGACCACAACCAGATGTTTTTCCTAACATTTGTCACGTTTGTTTTTACCATAAAAATCCATGTCAGCATAATTAAAAATTTTATTTTCCAAGTCTAGTCGGTTGATTTTGGTTGGGGTGGTCGTTCAACAGTTTTGTTATATTTTTCACTGTTTGTTGGATGTATGATTTTTACTCATACATACGTACCGAAAAAGATTGATATAAATGAAACACAAACATGTGCTGTGTAACACTGTATTTACTTGTTGTTGACAGTTCGGAGTCTATGTACAAAGTGGTTAAAATCGGAAGCGATACATTACAGGTAGAAGAGAAAGTGGGGACGCTTGTGACAAGGGTTGGTGGGTAAAACCCTAACGCGAACACTGTTCCTGTTTGTAGCCGAATTTGGTTCTGTGTATCATTTCGTGGCTTTTTGTCATCATTAATTTTAAATTTAAATTTCGATTAACATTGAGGTAAGTCTAAATTAAAAATAACTTTGAAATCGTATCAATTTTACAATATGTATTAAAAATTGAAAAACGTTTGCAATATAAATATTTTTATACTTATACTATGTATAGTTTAGGAAATATCGTTGTACCCTATAAAATTTTATTGACAATAACGAGACGGACGGTAGTACAATGGTAACAAATATTTATGGCTCACACCAGTCCCCCTGAATTTGTCGGAGAACATTTAGCAAGTAATTGTACACACAGGGTCGGACTTCCGCTGCTTTAAAAATTTAAGGTCGGCGGATTACCGCCACGCGACAACTTTAAGTTGTAAATATCTCTTGCTATTGTACTACTGTCCGTCTCGTTATTGTCAATAAAATTTTATAGGGTACAACAATATTTCCTAAACTATAGAAAAGTTGTTGCCCGCAGCTCCGTTTGCGTGGAATTCGCAATTAGGACTCATCATTTTTCATACACGATCGTTTTCTGGGTTGGAACCGTGTAAACTGAGTTTTTGGGCTCAACGTTTCGCACACTTTTGTAAGTGGTATCTTCAGGAGCAGGGTTAAGAATAAGGCAAAAGAACACGGTAACTCAGTATGTCAACCATATCAGAGGCGAAACGTTTTTGAGAAATTACACGGTTCCAACTCGGAAAACGATCATGTATTGATTCCGACCGTGCAAACCTTCGAAATTATCATTTTTCATTTCGTTCACTCCTCCCTCCTCAGTGAACCCATCTTAAAAACTCACGGGATTTATGCACAAAGTTTCATCCCCTATTTTGTCCCCGTAGGGGCGGAATTTCCAGAAATCTTTTCTTAATGGGTGCTTATGACACAAAAAGAACCTACTGTCCAAATTTCATGTTTGTAGCTTCAGTAGTTTAGGCTTTGCGTTGATGAATTAGTCAGTCTGTCAGTTAAGACAAACACTTTTATATATTAAGATTGATTCATCATAATTTTATGCATGTTTGTTAATAAAAAGTATCTCTCTACAAAAATATGTGATTACAAAACTTTATTTGTTTTTTTTTTTACAAAAAATTTTTTAAGGGCGTTGAACAGTAAGTTGCATCGGGGCGCCTGGTCCCTTACAGCCGGCCCTGAGTTTATGTCACGAATTGGGGAAAAGTGTGGATTTGAAAAAGTCTGCAATAATTTATAATATTTGAAAATCAATAATAGTGGTTGTAGTGTTCCAAAATTTTCGAATAGGTACTTTCAATTATGTTGCAAAAAATAAATTAAACTTCAAATATATGTGTTTATTTAACAAAACATTATAGGCTCTAACAATAGGACATAATTAAGTATGCTAACATTAAAAACATTATATTAAACACACCATGAAGTACATAATATACGTGTATAATACGTGTATTAGTTTCATTACCTAAAGACAAGCTTTAAGGGTACAAGCAGCGTTGGTTCCGTCTTGATTACAAACACATGTGTTGCAATCTTTTTTGAACGTAGATCCAGGTGTGCAGTGTGTTTCTAAAATGACAAAACAAATCTTAATTAATACGAAGTTAACATAAAAACCTTTCAAACGAATCACATAGAAACTATAAATGCCTCGGTTTTATTGCGTGATATTTATTGATGGCCCGGTACAACTTTTGAGAGTACAGACCGCATTTTTTCCATCTAATGTACATGTACAAGTATTACAGTCCCTTGTAAAAGTTTGGCCAGGTGTACAGGAAAATGCATCTACAATTTAGTAACAATATGATACAAAAGATGTTGTAAAATGTTTTCTGTTAATGAAATAAAAATGTCTGTCGCTTTATCAACTTCTGGTCTGTGACAGTTAATATTTGAAAATAATTACACGAGAGTTTTAAACATTTTAGCTGAATTATTTTAATGAAGCAAAGCGAAGAATCTTTTGAATAGTCTCATCCATTTAAATTGATTTTAAGTGAAAAATCGGCGACGAAATAAATTCAAACCGTCCTACTTTTTATGATGCAGGCGAGATGTAGCAATATAAAAGAAAAATAATTTCAGTTGTACGATGCCTGTGATTATGTTATTAATATTCTGTGAACAAAAATTGTCGTCAAGGTGGTATGTGATGTTACTGATGTTTAATTATTGGCCTTCTCATTTCTCGTTGTGAATGACGGATGCTGAGAAAACGATAATTTGGCAAGACGAAGGATTATTCAGGAAAAGTTTTAATACAATTCGGCACGGAAAAAGCTAAATGATTTTATTTTTAGTTAAAATTATCAATACGTACCTCGTGTTGGACGTGAAATACAAAGTCTTCTCGAACAAGCCCACACACCATTAGTGCATTTGCAAGAGTTGCAATCTATTTTTTTTGTATCACCAGGGTTGCATTCATCTGAAAATAAGTAATTTTATTTTAGCCTGTGCGTCTTTATCATCACAATATGCTTATTTTAAAATACGAACCGAAACCAAAGGTTAAATGTTATAACAACTGCAGATAAAATGACCATCATTACACATAAAACATTTTATTTATTAAATTTTTAAGTCAAATTTGTATATTATGGACTAGATTTTGAGAAACTGTATGACACAAAGTTAAACTTGAATAATAATATTAACAGCATTTTCAGCATGTGTTAAGACTTACCAGACAACACTGTGGCGACGAGAACACTGAAGATAAGACATAAGATGATTGTCTTCATTTTGTGGCTTCTGACCCAGCTTCTATCTAAAACTGATTGAGATCCGCTAAACACAACGCTTTATTTATACTGACCAGAGGTTGTAAGTTCTTTGAAACGCCTTGGTTGATCTTTTAATTACTAAGAGATTATAATACGTATAATACTTATCTGTCAATATTGGTTTACAATTATGCGCAGCTAAAAACTACAATCAGGTTTATTTATTTTTTTACATCATCGTGACGTCATATTTTGCAGTGCATAAGAGATTTCCATTTAAATTAGGTATTATGTAACAATTAGCGAAGGTTAAATTTCTTATTTCAAAGAAAATAAAAATAAAGCACGTGTTACTATTAAGTAAATAAACTAATTGGTAAACAACTTATTTTGTTCTTTTATAAAAAATGTACCGTTTTGAATTTTCGGAATTAGCACTGGTATAATAAGAATGAAACTTGTTTGTAAATGAATTGTGAAGAACGGAAAATCCATTCCGATGGGATTCACAGTGCAGACGATTATGAAATTTGTCTTTAATTAGTCAAAAAAACGAACACATCCTGATTTAAAATAACAGTCTTAATTTACTGAATTTATTTTAAGCAAAAAATGTGTAATTCACGCTACTAGCAATTATATTAAATTACTTGTACAAAATTATCGAATTTTTAAATATGATTACAATTATTATGCCCTAAAAGATACCACGTTTGGTATGTAAGTTTCTTTCCAAGGAACAAGCTAGACTTACGTTTATTTATGTTTCATTTTAGAAGAACGTTGAAAATATTTAAAAGGTCCAATTTTTAAATTATGCGTAAAGCTCTTATACTGAGTAATGGTTATATATGTAGCGGGCACAAAGAAAGAGATCTTCGCTCTTAATTTGATTTATTACTAAAGAGAATTTTTTTTTATGCCGAGCGAATTCGTCAATTGTATGTTTTCTTAACGTTTCGTAGCTCCTAAAATATGAAAAAGTAGCATCCCCGTTTGCGTCTGTCATGAAGAGTGCAACAGTCACTAAAACTTTTCTGTTCATGCACACCAAAAAAGAACTTTTTAAAATGTACGATGCTCAGATATTTTTGATATATTAATCCAAAGTCATTATTTTTTCCTTACGCATGCGGGTTTTTGAAAAAAAAATTACCGTATTTTAAAACTGCAAAGTCGATTTCTCTGAAACCACACGCTAATCAAAATTTATCTGTTCGCTTCTTCTAAAACCTTGACCTCACAATTTTTTCAAGTAAGTTTCACTGGCAATTTATGACATAACATAATATTTTAGTGGTTTAATAATGTAGGGTAAATGTGTACAAGAGTACGCACTTAGTGTAAAACTGTCAATAACTTTTTAATTTTTTTGGACAGACAAATTTTATGATATGGGTTCGTCATATACATGTTCAGAGATCAGATATATTTAATTGTACGTCCCAAGACCACTATATTTTAAGAGTAATTTCAATTTTTGTCAAGATGTGTAAATGCGCACTCTTAGACAGTCCACTGCACAAGAGTGCGCATTTGAACGCTTATGAGTGCGCATTACATTTTCTGAAAAAAATCTTTATTTCTAAGGTGAAAATAAATAGGGACAAGTGACTACAGACTACACATACAACGGGATCCATATTTCTTCGTACTCTAGGTGTCTTGAAATTCGAGAAAACGTAAAAGTAGAGAGTCGGTCGACGGACTCGATTACAATACTTCGCTTACGCTCAGGAAGTAAAAATTAAAAAACAAACATCACCATAACCACCACCACACAACTTGAGAAGCAGTACAAAGTAGTAGAGTTAAATAATTCATTATAGTATCATATGTATCTATAAGACTACGTATCGCTAGTATTGCGCACTCTTGTACATTTGTACATAACCTAATGTTTTCAAAGTTAAAAGCTTTTGATGTATAGAAAGTATAAAACTGCTAGTGTATAACGACACCTTAAAAGTTACAGCTAATGAACATTATTACTGTAAAATAAAAGAACTGGTACGTACCTTACAAAAAACTAAAACTATGAGCGGTAAAAATTACATCCACACAACACGTAAACATAAAATCGTCAGTACGATCAAACTATAAACTATATACAGGTCACTGTTGCACCTTTATCTCAAGTTTAGCATTGGATTGTGAATGGTATAACTTCATCTTACCCAGATGGCACTAATAAGCACAAATCATCAGTGCGTACTCTTATACATATGCGCACTCTTGTACACATTTACCCTATCGATATTTTTACTTCTGCCTAAGCGTAAGCGAAGGAAGTTTTGTAATAGGTCTATTAGACGAATGGCTACTTTCATGTTTTCTTGACGTTTCATGATAACCAGTGTACGAGAAAATTGGTCTCCCGTTCCCGACATAAAATCTTCAAATCTATCGGACCGATTGTTGTGAAATTTTATATGTATGTTCAGGATACCTTTTAGATGTTAAAACGCTGACCAAAATATGTTTCATCATCCCCATCAACAATGGAAAGCCATCATCTCCAAATTTTACAATAATAAATGTTATTTATATTATATGTTAATTACAATATATCACTATTGTTTGTGCACATGCCAATTAATATATTATAACGATGCATATTTAAATTAAATTTAAAATATCTTCGTCACTATAAAATTCTTCAATGTTGTAAAAAGCTTTGCATGTCAAGTAATGTTGTATTTTCTTTTTAAAATGTGTAAATTGCGAATTTTGTATTTCAACGAGTAACAGATTAAAAAACTTTATTTAAAAATATTCGGTACCTGTCCGAGATTTTGTTAATCTTAAATTTTTCAGACACAAATCTGTGTTATGAACTTATGACGCATATTATTATATAGATATGGACATCGCGGTGTGTCTTATAAATGGTGAATTTTGATTTCACGTAAATCAAACAATGCGAGGGTAAGGTCATAATTGTAAAACTTATGAAGTAATCCTTACAGTTGTCACGATACTTTTAACCACCTAGAACTCTAACAGCTTTACGCTGTAGACCAAATATTCGGTGTCTTGAGCTCGAGTGACCCCAAATCAATAGACCATATGCTAACTGTGCTTGGATAAGGGCAAAATAGACCACCCTCAAAGTTTCAAGGTGAACTTAGTTATAGAGGTGTCTTAGAACAAAAATATTTTTACACAATTTATCCGCAACTACTTTCCCATGATCATGCCAAGTTAACTGACGATCAATGTGCAAACCACAAATTTAGTGGACTCTGAGTATTTTCAGATATTCTTTTTTTTTAGAGTGAATAACATATAAATACATTTATTTTTGTTAGTTGTTAACCTATTACTGTGAAACCAACGAGTACCTCTCGACTCCCCCTTTCATGGACACTAATAGCATCAGCAATGTCTTTACCTACTGTTAAAATGGTTGTGTCGTCGGCAAAAAGTAATGAATGAGTCTGCAAATATCTGGGAAAGTCATTGATGTAGAGCAGAAATAGTAGGGGGTCTAATACTGAACCCTGAGGTACATCGTGTGTAATGTGGAGGCTTGCGGAATTTGCAGACCCGGTCCTTAAAATTTACCAACCCTTATTCAAAAAAGATGGTGGGATGTAAGTTATACCTTCATAGTTTCATTATTAGTATTTCATACGGAACGCAGTTGAAAGCCTTTGTCAAATCTAAAAACGACGCCATTTCACCCTTTTCCAAACACTTAATGACTGTATCAGTTAATGTCAGATAATAGTGGACTAAATCTCCTAAATCCATACTGAACTGAAGAAATTAATTTATTATCTTCCAAAAAGGAACTTAATTGTTTGCAAAGTATTTTTTCCAATATTTTGGAAAAGACTGGTAGTAATGCTATTGGTCGATAATTACTGGGTTAGTACTATCACCATTTCTACGGACAGGAACAATGACACCTGTTTTTAAACATTTTGGGAAGGTAGAATTGCCAATGCATAAGTTAATTAACTTAATTAATGGCGACATCAGTCAATTTTTCATATATTTCATTATATTTACATTAAGCCCGAATATGTCAAGTGAATTACTAGGTTTTAAACTATCTATTACATCTCTGACCAGGATACCAGATATTTCAGAAAAAGTAAAATGTGTCAGCACACTAGATTCACGTATCAAGTTTTCACACTAGTTATTCTCACAGTCAGACATTAGGTACAACGGGTCATCACAGTTATCAGGCCATTTCTTTACTAGGAAAGAAGCTACAGTACTAAAATATATATTAAAACCATCACAGGATATAACACAGTAATTATTTGTTTTTATATTATGACAAGATAATTTATTGGTGCTATCATTAATAAATTCGCCACATGACTTTTGTTTTATTGTTAACCGTGCCAATAATTTTTTTGATACGGTGAATTTTTTTAAGCCTAATTCCTATAATTGTTTCTTGCTTTTCTTGTTTCATAAGAATCTATAATTTTATCCAAATTATCTAAAAAATTGACAGTATCTCTCATAGCTTTTAAGTCTTTGTCAACTCATTTGGATCTACTTTTTAAATTTATAGTTCTTTCAGGAAAAGCAAGAGTCATACTATTACATATAATTTCTATAAATTTACTAAATTTAGTGTTAACATAAATTTTCTGACTCCCAATAAATCTCCAGTCACTCTTTGAAAGTAAGTTAAACAATATGTTTTTTCCAACGCTTGTTATTGGCCCATGTATTCTTATTAAGTCAATATTTAGTGAATTACTTTTTAAAATGAACATTTCAAGTTTTATTCCTGTCTGATCTGATAATGAAAATCTAATGGGCTAGTTTTGCAATCAATAATAATAAGCAATATTAATATTAATTAAAGTTTAACTTTCTTGTGGGAAAATGTACGAGTTTCAGTAGATTAGCAAGCCATAAAATCACAAACTTGGGTTGATAAATTATTATCACAAAGAAAATAAACATTAAAATCACCCGCAATTAAGACATTGTTTTTCAACACATTTATTTTAAAATTGCAAAACTGAATGGTCTCAAATATTGCAAGCGTAAGCTAAGAGAGTATTGTAATAGAGCCCACTTTCATGTTTTCTCTAC